AAAAAGATTTTTAGCAATGAACTACACTTGCAAGCTCACTCATCCATCTTGAAAGAAATGACACACTCCAAATGAAGCCAACAGAAGAGAAACAGAACCACATTTCAAACTGACTTAATCTGAACATAAACAAATAAAATCTGATACCAATGTACTGAAGGGCAAAACTTTCTCTGCATCTGTGAACCCCGGATCCTGGTGAACATTTTAGAATGGAATGGAATGGAATGGAATGGAATGGAATGGAATGGAATGGAATAGAATAGAATAGAATAGAATAGAATAGAATAGAATAGAATAGAATAGAATAGAATAGAATAGAATAGAATAGAATAGAATAGAATATTCTTTATTGGCCAAGTGTGATTGGACACACAAGGAATTTGTCTTCAGTGCAGAAGCTCTCAGTGTGCATAAAAGTGATTTGTTGCTAAGTGAGACAATTGCTATGTGAATTTTGCCCCATGGTTGTTAAGTGAATCACTATTCCAGGAATTGTGCAGCAGCTGTCTGCATGAAGTGTGGGCACACCAACACAAACGTGGGGTTCCTTTATATAAATATACAGCCAAAGACCTCTTACACCTTCAAACTTGCTGAGGTTGAGGATCATTGGTGGGATCTAACACCTATTTAAATTTAACTTATTTAAATTTAACATTGACATTTATGGTTATTTTTTTTTGTTATCATCTGCAAAAGGAAGACAAGTCAGGAAGTTGGGAAACATCGTGAGGTAAATTGAAACAGGTCTACAGAACGCACAGATTGAAAATAGCGGGGGGGGGGGGGAGACGCCCACTTCGTACACCACAGCCAATCACAGCGCAGGCCGCCTCGCGCATGAGTCAGCACTTTCTAACCAGAACTGTGTGTTCTGAATTTTTCACTTTTTGTTTTTTTACAAACATATCAATGTGTGAATTTTATTTTGATACAAATAAAATAGTATTAATCATATTTGTTCCATTCAACAAGCATATATAATTCTAGTAATAACACACATATTTTTATTAAATTATAATGTTTCATTGTTTAGTTATTCAATATTTCAATGGGTCATTTTTATGCCAATCACCCTATTCTAAGTTTCAGACCTTTTAATACAAATAGAATATTGTTAATCATATTTATTACATTTAGCAAGCTTATATAATGCTAATAATAATACAAACATTTATGTTAAATTAAAATGCTCCATTATTGTCTTGTTCAACTTATAATCTTTCATTATTTCAATATGTTACAGTAGTTTTAATCATTTTCTTTTGCATTTAGCAAACACATATTCATATTGAATTATAATCCTTCATTATTTATTTAATCAACAGTTCAATATATTATTTTTATGCCAGTCACCATATTCAACAGTAGAGACCTTCAACTTTCTAGGTTCCATCATATCACAAGACCTAAAATGGACACTTAACATCAAAAGCATCATCAAAAAAGCACAACAAAGAATGTTCTTCCTGCGCCAACTCAGGAAGCTCAAACTGTCCAAGGAGCTGCTGATCCAGTTCTACAGAGGAATGATTGAGTCTGTCATCTGCATCTCTATAACTGTCTGGTTTGGTTCTGCAACCCAACAGGACAGACACAGACTTCAGAGAGTAATTAGGACTGCAAAAAAAACAATTACCACCAACCTGCCTTCCATTGAGGACCTGTATACTGCCCGAATCAAAAAGAGGGCTGTGAAAATATCTACAGACCCCTCACATCCCGGACATAAACTGTTTCAACTCCTTCCCTCAAAGCAATGCTATAGAGCACTGCACTCCAGAACAACTAGACACAAGGACAGTTTTTTTTCCTATATGCCACCACTCTCCTAAACAAATAATTCCCTCAACACTGTTCAACTATTTACAAAGTCTGTGCTACTATTACAATTAACCTTCTCATCACTCCTTTTCACCCATCCTCTCCCACTTGTGACTGTATGACAGTAACTGTCACTTGTATCCGTATGATTTTTATTGACTGTTTCCTAGTATGATTTGATTGCTTATTGTACCCTATGACTATTATTAAGTGTTGTACCTTATGATTCTTGACTCTTGATGAATGTATCATTTCTTTTATGTACACTGAGAGCATTTGCACCAAGACAAATTCCTTGGGTGTCCAGTCACACTTTGGCCAATAAAGAATTCTATTCTATTCTATTCTATTCTATTCTATTCTATTCTATTCTATTCTAATTCTAATTCTAATTCTAATTGTATTGACTATTATTACATGTTGTACCTTATGATTTTTGACTCTTGATGAATGTATCTTTTCTTTTATGTATACTGAGAGCATATACACCAAGACAATTCCTTGTGTGTCCAACCACACTTGGCTAGTAAAGAATCCATTCATTCATATTATTTAAGTACACAACTGCATGTTCTGGCCG